TATACAAAAATACAAGAACATATGAAAAAGAAATATGACATAAAATTATATAATAATGCATAAAATGTTATCATAATTTTCTGCATTATAAAAATATATTATTTCTTAAATATCCCATATTTATTTATTGGTACAACACAGATTGTATGGATACTACATTTTGTATACATAAAACTCTTGCAATACAGTCACAATACATTTTTACATCGGAAAGACAAAATAAAAACACTATTACTTACATCTGCAGACGAGATTGTTGCAGGGCGTGTCTCCATTATTTTCATCAGTGACTACATTTTTATTCGGAAACACAAACAAGCCCGTTTCCACAGCTCTGTTAGTTCACATGTATCATGTAGATATACGCAAGGCGCATATTAAATTCTCATACATAAACTACCTCTTCTTTTTCACGCTGGGATAGAGGGTGGTGCGACAAGAATGCGATAGAAGGCGTTCATTGTGTTGTGAAAATAAAGCCATTTGCATATTATAATATAGATATTGTTTTGATATAACATTCACAGGGTATCATAATCTATTATCCGATCACTCCTGCTAGAAAAAATGTTCAGCTGATAGGAAGGTATAAGGACTGATAAAGTCTTCCCAGCTGATACATATCCGGAAAGTTGCTAAAAGCATAAATAAAGAAATAGAAAATTTATCGTCTTGCCAATCTTAAAACATAAGTGCTTGAATTCGAAACAAAAATCTTTCAGAAGTCACCTGACTTGTAAAGGGAGAAAACTCCTATAAATATGAACATTATGAGATACCAGGGTTTTCTGCCTTTTAAAAATACAGCTAGTGCTTATTATTTAGTATAAAAAGGTGGCATAATTGTATACGTACATCATATTCATGTAGGCCTGCGCACAGACTTGCGTTTGCGTTTACCATCTGAATAATCGCCTGAAAATAACGAAGAAAAGAAGTAGTTTAAACATTTAAAATGTAAAATGTTTAATTTTACAATATGACAGTTTAATTTATAATATTTTTTTCAACATTTTGTATTTTTGTATCAATACAAGTACTTTTATGTATTATTGGATATATAGAATGTTTATGCAAATTTGACTGTATGTATTTAGTTTATACGATACCACGAAGACACTAAATATACGAAATAACTTACCAATGAGAAAAGAAAAACAACACCAAGAACTCGAGCCATCTTTTTGATTCTCAGATTGCACTGATCACAAAATTAGGAATATACTTTTGTTCACAACTGAAAGAAACAAACACGTAGACATTTGTTATGCAGCTGCATGTTGACGTGTACTATATCAAATGAACGATAATCATTTAACAACGTAATATATAAGTATTTGTATTGGTATATTTTAAGAAGTACATTGCATGATTCCAGTTACAACATTTCAATCAGAAACGGAAGTCGGACTACTTTTTTCAATGTGTCACACATGAACAACAAAAAGGGCAAAAACTGACCGGCTGAATGTGTTTTATGTTTAATGAGGGTCCATCCGCCCGTTAAGTTGCAAAAGCAGCTTTCGCTGTCAAGTACGGACCCTGGAAATGTCACCAGTCATGCCCTTAAAGGGTTCATTTTGAAGCACAAACTGGTGATAATTAATTTACCTCCATGCAAATTCCACGGAGTATTAGCCAAAGATATGAATTTTTGAATTTTCAGCCATACGGTGGCAAATGAGAACCTAAATGTACACTGATCTGAGACAAAATGAAAATGGGGTAGTCCTGAAAAGGGCTGTTGGTGTCAACCTGAGAGCCGCCTGCCTTTCAAGCCGTCACATTTTTTAATCAGGATAAAAATAAGAACAAGCTGATTTAAATGTACTCCTACATCGCTACATATAAACATAAGAAGCTGAACTTTTAAAGAAGTCAGTTATTGTAATCCTGTTATTTTGCAGTATACAGTTACTGTTTTATTATTATTATTATAATTATTATTATTATTGAACATTAGATAAATATATATGTATGAACATTTTCAAGATTTTATTTTACCTTTATCCCTTGCCACCATGGTCCTGTCCATCTCTCAATCGGGACAACAAAATCGTTCGCGATGTTCCAGGAAAAATAATGACCAAACTATCAAAATGATCTTATGTACTCAAATCATGCTAAATGACAATAAAGTTCAAGCATGAATTTCTATTTCAATTCTACATATTTTGGGGTTGAAGCGTAAATATATCTTTTTATATTGAACAAAATTTAGACGCCAATTAAATCACCAAACAGTTTTAAAACAAGTCATGTGACTTGAATAAACCCTTGAAGTTACAACCCTTGACTCCGCCCACTTTCATATTTATATTTCATATTTATTTTTAAAAAATATGAAATATATTTGACTGACATAGCACCATATTTCATGGGTAAAATTAAATAAATACAGTCAAATTTGCATTTACATTCTTTACATCCATTAACACATACAAGTACTTGTATTGATACAAAAATACAAAATGTTTAAAAATATTATAAATTAAAATTTTCGGACTACTTCTTTACTTCGTTATTTTCAGGCGATTATTCAGATGGTAAACGCAGACGCCTATCCGTGCGCAGGCAAAAGTGAATATGATGTAAGTAGACAATATTTCACCTTTATAATAAAATAATAAGCATTAGATGTATTTTTAGAAGGCAGAAAACCCTGGTTTCTATAATGTTCATATTTATAGGAGTTTTCTCTTCTTCAAGCATTGACAAAACGATTTATTATCTATTTCTTTATTAATGCTTTTAGCAATTAAGCTTTCCGTGCCAAGATATGTATCAGTCCTTCCAGTTCACGGCTATACTTTCCTATCCGCTGAACAGCATGAGTGATCTGATACTAGATTATGATACCCTGTGAGTCTTATATCAAAATAATTTCTATACTATAATATGCAAATGTCTTCATTTTTCACAACAACATGAACGCCTTCTATCGCATTCTTGTCCCACCACCCTGTATCCCAGCTTGAAAAAGAAGAGGTAATTTATGTATGAGAATTTAATATGCGTATATCTACATGATACATGTGAATTACAGGACTGTGGAGACGGGCGTGTTTGTGTGTGTCCGAATAAAAATGTAGTCACTGATGAAAATAATGGAGAAACGCCCTGCAACAATCTCGTCTGTAAATGTAAGATTTTGTCTTTCCAATATAAAAAATGTATTTTGACGGTATTGCAAGGGTTTTTAAAAAAAAACGGGATGTATAGTATCTATACAATCTGTGTTGTACCAATTAATGGATATTGGATATCATTGAATAATAATTAATGTAGCAGAGTAGAACTCTTAACATAATTATGCTGCCATTTGTCGTATAAAGATACATGTGATTGAAGCGTTTATGTGACCAACAACTCCTTAACAGTTATACAAAACATTAATTTAAAATACATGCACATTCGTATTAAAATATGTCTGCGTTAAGCGACAAAAATCCGGAATAGATGCAAATCTCTTTTTTTTCTATGAAGTTTTTAGTTTCCTATATTTTAGTATTTTAATTTATTTATGGTGTATTGTTTAAATCATTTCAGACCCCGAGTGCTATTATTTCACCGGCAGAAATGTTCGCCCTCAAATGGATAGAGGTGCAGTAGTGTCATGCGGTGATACTGATTGTAGGAGACATTACGAACGCGTGGGTTGTGGTTTTTGCTGTCCTGTGGCCAAAGGAATGTTTGCTAACTACATGTAGTATAAACCAACACTCTAGTATAAACCAGCTATTCGATGTAAACATTGCAATGAACTGATCAACAAGACTTGTAACAATTGAAATAAAATAATTTAGAAGCATAAGTTCATATTTGTTGCTTTAAAGTCATGAAAAAACCTTTACATTGTATGTCTTTCTTTATGCCTGAAAGGATGAAAGTATTTCTATTTAACCGTGTAAGAGATATGATTATAACCAAATTCGATACTAATAAAGACACATTTGGGGTTAATTATACCCACACATAATCACATACAAAGCGTTTTGGAAAATCTGTCCAATTCTTCTTGTACTGGTATTAGTTCCGATATTAAATTTTGGTTCTTAGCTACCATGCGTTAAGATTAACAAAAGAGAATAAATTTACTTCTCCGCAAATTGACGTGGAATACATATGAATGTGTATGTAGTCTATGTTTAATGTGGGTCCATCCGCCTGGTAAGGCACAAAAAAGCAGTGTTCGCTGTCGAGTACGGACCCCGAACATGTCACCAGTCATGCCCTGAAAGGGTAAATTTTGAAGAAATTTACCTCCGTGCAATTTCCACAGAGTATCAGCCAAATATATGAATTTTTAGCCCAAAGTTGGTCACTGTGCGGCGGACAATAAGAACAATGTATAGTAACCTTAGGCAATAATGAAAGGAGGTAGCCCTTTAAAGGTCTGAGATTGGTGTCAAGCAAAGGACCTGTCCTACAAGCCGGCCGTCATCCGTACTTGGGACCCACGCACCCTAGTACACCATCCTTATCGACGCTATGGATTAAGGTTATCCACTTGTTTGCCAGCAGCTGATTCAAAGAATCAGTTTCAAAATAATGAACTCAATGTTCATACACCATTTGATCCAGTATTGTTCGCATTTATCATGGTTTTATTTGTTTGACTATATTCCATTTCTGAAGTAAATCCTTCACATTAAATCTTATTGACTCTTATCATTTAGAAGCAGATACTCTCAATATGTTTACAATTATTGTGCCATTATCCATTGGAACTAGAAGTAAAGCCAAAATGACTTTCAACAAACTTAATTGTATAATTGTACAATCCAATTTAGACCACAAGTTAGTCAAAGCTGAATCATGCTTTAAAATTCCTTCAGAATCAAATATACGTGTAGAAATCTAGACGATGTTGTACAAGACATAACAGAACAGAACATATATTTTATTTCGAATTTATTAAGCATATACAGCTCGTCTTCATATACAACAATATATACATGCATAGATATGAAAAAAACAGTTTGGTCACTTCTATCAATATTATTATGTCTCTATTATGTTTCTGTGAATTAACTATAAACTCCATTTTTTTCCAGCATTTAGCTTCCCGTCCCGATGTGAGCGGTCAATCTCCATTAAGTTTGTTCAAAGAAGAGAAAAAACTTTTTTTTCCTGTAATTTTCTTTTTCAAAGATTTATTTAACCTTTCATTTGTTTGCTTGTAGAAAAAGTGAAGCGTTGTACGTATGTCCGAGCAAACTGTAACAACGTCATCAATATTTTCTTTTACGCCTGAAATCCTAAAATCGTTCCGACGTTAATACTTCGGATGCTTACCGAGTATGACAATATTTCCGATTTAATGAAAAAAATATAGACGCAAGTCTTCCAGTTTTATATCTTTTTTTAACAACGCTCGTACATGTTTTCTCACCTATTTGTTCAAGTTTTGAACTTGCATGCTTTGCTCGTGCAAATTGGAATAATTGTTTGCCAATTCATAACATTTTCCAGTGGCTCGATCAATTTTACATGTCAACTTTTCAGTTACACCAGACACAATTTTATAAACCAAAGATTCTGTAACAACAACAACAAAAATTATGTGTATCTATTCCTTTTTAATGTATTTTTTGTACTAGGATATAATGAACTAGGATTTTCTCTTTAGAAATCAGTGTGTTTCAGTGGCACTTTGTAGTATGTTTTCGTACGTGATGTTTCATTATCTGGTGAGTTTAGTTCTAGTTTGATGGATTGTGATGTTGGAAGAATTATAAAACTGCATGTGATGTCAGACACATAACGTGTGTTGAACTCATTTATCTTTTATCAAAATAACTGTTTATGTAAAATGTTCAATCATTTGTATAATGGCTCATCAGATACTTAACTCCCTTTTATATCACATATTTACATTAATCAAAAGATTAGGGAACAAAAATGCACGCCACTTACCATAACGAAGTTAAAAGAACGGTTATTGTTACCTTACTCTACCACATTTTGGTGTCGTGCTTGAAGTAACTTATTGCCTAAAATGCCTAGAAAATTTTAATCGTTGCAAAAGCAATATGATACTATTATATAGATATCATTTTTATATAAAGATCTTGGTATCATTAATAAAATATTTGTATATTTGGTCAAATATCATTAATAATATTATTTGTATATTTGGTCAAAAAGTCAAATATTATTAATAAAATATTGTATATTTGGTTAAAAAGTCAAAAGTTTGGGAATTAGACACACCTAAATTGGACAGAGGCATTAAAGCAAAATAAAATAGACGCTAGTTTCGGTGTTAGAGTTTATTCACAATATTATATTTTTAAGCAATAAGAGAGACATAATTACACGAAATAATAGAGCAAAGTAACATGTGCTACCTTCGAACAAACACTAAACGTTAGCACTATGACTTGTAAGTGGGTCTGGTGGGAAGAGATTATCAAGGTGCATGTTCCTGTGAAGTTTGGAGGCCCTAAATGTAAGTACTTTCGTGTTAGGTTTAAGGTTAAAGTTTTGTGACTGCCTGACAAACAGATAAACTAACAGACCAAAATATATATATATTTACACATTATATGTGTATAAAATTGTGTATAAAATTGTTTAATACATATAGAGATTCTACTGCTAAAACTTGTAAAAAATAAATCAATAATTGAAAAGAAAAAATAGCTTTGTAATTATTTTTAGAAAACATAATATTTAAAAGATCTCCACTGAGATATAAAAGTCTACAAACATAGAATTCGTAAGAAAAAACAACTGAAGAAAATAACACGGAAAGATATGCAAAAAAGTAGAGAAATCAAATTGAAAGTAATTTTTATCTGATTCTAAGCCAGATTACAACTACAAGCATTCTTACATTCATGTCCTTTTTCACAATTAAACTGATAAGATTTATTCTGAAAAACGTAAACAGTTAATGATCTGAAATTCTTCACACAAGTCATTAGTCCAGATCTACATCAAATGGTATATAGCTAAATTTCGAAAAAATATTTCCTGTCCAAGAACACCCTGTAAATCCTTGCTTATTCCAATTATCACAATTACTTTATCAAAATACGACAGCATAAAAAACTGCTTATTCTATAACAAATAAGATAAAACGTATAAATGTTCCTCTCATGAATATATTAACTCAAGAGTTTAACTGTATAAATGATGTGTTTCTCAAACATGTGTTCAAACATATAAACAATAAACATGTTTAATGCCTGATAAATGGCTTGAACTTCAGTGGACCAGACATGTCATGATCATCTATCTCGTACTCTGTTGAAGGGCTGTATTTCAAATCTGTGCTGATCAATACTGTGTCCTGTCAAATTAAAACATATAATTTACAACACTGAAAGTTTTCTTTATGCAATATGTTTTAATTTTCCTTTGAAAGAAGCACATATTGGATATGCCAATTATACAATCTTAATAAGATTCTAAAGGCTACCTTGTAAAAGGATAGGCTATATACATGCCACTTAAAAATACATTTGTTAAATTGAGAACTAGGTTTAAGTGACACCTAGACTAGCCGACATTATTGCAGGCACAGATGAGTATCCGAGGAGAAGCACCAACTGTTTGTAAAATAATTTCTATAGTCAATCGTCACTAATGTTTATAAGATTTTATATAAAATTTAATTAAATTAGAATAATTTAACTAGTTCCTATTTCCCAGTCTTATAAACTAAAATATTTAGCTGTATTACGTAAATATACTGAAGTCACTAACTAAAACGCTGTAAGAAACATGGCAAAAAAAAAAATTTCGTGTCACAATTATATTATTAGTTATAAAGATTGTTGACAGGTTATATGGCCCTATATAAACGGCGGTTTTTAAATATTACCCGAGCCGCTAGGCGAGGATTATATTGCAAACAACCGTTTATATACGGCCATAGAACCTATCAAAAATCTTAATAACGAATTTATAATACAGCAAGCATCATTTTTAGAGGAATAAAGCGAGATTTCTTTATAAATCGACAGTAGCCGTGTATATAAATCTTTATAATACTGCATGTTTGTAACGTCATTTTTCATTGGATAATCGTGACGTTTATATAGTTTTATATACACAGCTGCTGTCGATTCATGAAAAAAAAAAAAAAAAAAAAAAAAAAAAAAAAAAAAAAAAAAACGAATGCTGATCTTCCGTTAAAATATCCGGGTCGACCTATAGTTTCCGCCTGTAATTCACCGACTGAGAATATTTCAAGATATTTGGATAGCATATTAAAACCGTATATGTTCCGACCTCCATCTTTCATTAAAGATACGACGGATTTTATTCAAAAAATTAAAAATGTGAAGTTGAAAAGCAAAGACTCATTATTAGTTACAATGGATGTATCTTCACTGTATACATGTATTCCGCACTCTGACGGCATAAAAGCATGTGAATATTTTCTAAATGAAGGAAATAGTGATCATAACTTACAAACACCAGTGCTCTCTAATCTTATACGGATAGTTTTTGAAAATAACTTTTTCGAATTTAATGAGTTTTTCATGCAAACGTGCGGTACTGCTATGGGATCATCTATGGCACCAGCATATGCCTCCCTGTTCATGGGGAAACTGGAAAAGGACTTTATCGAGTCACGAAATATCAAACCGACGCTGTGGCTACGTTTCCTGGATGACATTTTTCTAATCTGGGACGATACTCGCGAGGAACTCGAAAATTTCATTCGTGATCTAAATGATTTTCATCCGACGATTAAGTTTACGCAAACCATTTCCAGTTCATGTGTTGATTTTCTTGATGTGCGTGTTTCCAAAAATGATTGCACTCTTTCAACGAAAATATTCGTGAAAAACACTAATAATCATCAGTATCTTCATTATACCTCTTGTCATCCAAAAGCATGCAAGAATGGTATACCATACAGTCAAGGCAAGCGTTACCGCAGAATAATATCCGATGACAGTACATTCAAGGACTCTCTAGTTGATTTGAAAGACTTTTTTCTGAAACGTGAATACCCGAAAGAAGTAATTGACAATGCTTTTGAGAAAATTAATTCTATTAGTCAAAATGAGGCACTGCGACTCACAGAAAGTAGCCAATCTAATTTTGTTATACCATTTGTTGTTACTTATAATCCTCATCTTCCTAACATTGGTCACGTTTTAAACAAATATTGGGACTTACTAAAGTTGTCAAAAAGTGAAACTGTAAAATATGTTTATGAGACTTACAAACCTATTGTTGCATTTAAGAGACCAAAAAATATCCGTGATCATATTGTGCATTCTAGCTTTTCAAAGCAAATGTCAATTCATTCATCTTCTCCTTGTAGCAGAAGTAGATGTTCTCATTGTAATCGAATTACTTCGGATGTATCTTTTGCAAGCAGTGTCACAGGCGAAAAATATACACTGAGAAACCCTACAAACTGTTCTACAAATAATGTTATTTATTTAATCTCCTGTCAAAAATGCAATATGCAATATGTTGGCCAGACATCTCAACCGGTTTCACGAAGAATGAATAGTCATAAATTTGATATTACAAATTTCAAAGATCCAGCGTTTTCAATTCTTGTTGCAACGCATTTTAATTCAATTGATCATTCATTTAATGACTTTTCATTTTTACCGTTTGAGATTGTCAGCGACACAATGGAGCGTCTATGTAGAGAAACCTACTGGATTCATAAGCTTAAGACGTTTTCACCATCTGGATTAAATGCAAAAATTATATACGACATTTAATTATTTCCGTAAGTTCTTTTGCGTAGACATTCCATTATAAATGGTTATATATACTTTTTCCAATATAATACTTCATCTGTTTTATACATGTATACACGTTACGTAACATTCACGTTGTTTCCTATTATTGTTTTTTATATATTTTATATAGGAAATACTTGTATTTCATAATCCGTGAATGTTTATATATATATATATCGAAATCTTTATTAACTTTATTAATTTTTTAATGAAATTTAATATAACGTAACGTAACAATGTATGTTTCCCGCCATCTCGGACGTTGACGTCATGTGACGTCTCTTCCTGTTTATTCACTTCCTGTTTATTCACTGACGAAGAACATATTTGTTCGAAATCGATTTGAATATTAAAAAAAATAACTGAATGTACGCGTGTGGTTGTTCTTTTTGGATTCATAGTCGATTCATGAAGAAATCTTACTTTCATTCTCTAAAAATGATGCTTGCTGTATTATAAATTCTTTATAAAGATTGTTGACAGGTTATATGGCCGTATATGAACGGCTGTTTGCAATATAACCCTCGCCTAACGGCTGGGGTTATATTTACAAATAGCCGTTTATATAGGGCCATATAACCTGTCAACGATCTTTATAACTAATATAAACGTCACGATTATCCAATGAAAAGCGACGTTACAAACGTGCAGTAATATAAAGTGAAAACTAAAACAAGGACCAAGTACTCATTATTACCTTTGCAAAAGTAATCTTAGTATTTTGGAATTTGATATCACCAGTTACTGGCAGTGGAAACCCTCTCTTACCAAGATCTACAAATATAAAAACATGATAAATATAAAAGTTGAAATTACTTAAAAAATACTCAACGAATAATGTCTTGAACAACACTTACATCACAACTATGCTTCTTGAACAGAACTAATGGTCAGTTATTCCGGATGCCCTACGAAAGATGCATCATTTGACGATTTTGCCTAATTTCATGCATTTTATTGTCAGAATTTTCAAAGAGATACACCGAAATAATTGTTCTATGTTGAAGATTTATACCAATTTTCAAAGTGATTTGTAGTAAGCAAAGACACAGGCAATATATATTAATTTTTCTTGCAATATAGTATATAAAAGTACCGTTTATTGTTTAAATGCATTGTCTATCGGCATTCATGATTATATTCCTACCCATTAGAACTCGAACCATTATTTACAGCAATCACCCTGCAATCGCACAGTCGCGTCAGTCTTCGGATAAGGACTAATATTTATAATGCCGAGGATGTTCCAATTGGCACTAATGATTAATAACTACTTTAAAACATATAATTTTATATGTATATTATTGAATTGAATTGAATTTTAATCATATAAAGTATATGATTTACATTCAATTCAGCTGCGGTATATAATAAGATTTTAAGATTTTAATTTAATATATAATTTAAAATCTACATCAAACTAAGCTGTGGTATAAAGTAAGATATTAATTATATATATCATTTAGAATCTACATCCAATTCAGCTGTGGTATAAAATAATATAGTAATAGTATTACAAATACATGATTTACTTACCATTCAGCTGTGGTATAAGGTAAGATTTCAACACTTGCTTGATCAAAAAGTTGAGAACAACATCCTATAAAATAAATATAAATATATATACTATAAAACAAGAGACAATATTCAGTTTAAGCGCTTGAGCTTTAACTATTTATTTTTTACGCAATAGCCACAGTATTTTTTGCAATGACCTGTATTTTTGGCTCCTCCTTCTAACAAGACATTCATTCTCGTTCGCGCATGCTTAGTAGACAACGTATATAAACCAAGCACGCTTCTTCAAATTCCTTTTCGATCCGGTCTCCGGACTTCTGAAGTTGCCCTGAACCAACACGGAAAATACCCACCCACCCTTTCCATTTGATGTTGTCTCTAATATAGTTGACATATAAAGTAACACCCCAGTTATAGCAAATACACATGTATAATAAACTTATCTGCTTATATAATACAACAGGTAGGTTCATATGCAAACTAAACAATACATACCTTAAAGCAAGTCTAATTGTTTATTGTAATTAGAAATAAAATACAATTTCAAAGTATTATTTGGACAATCTTAGCGCTTATTTATTAAGTGATACTAAGTTTTTGTAAACTTGTTCATAGTCAAACATAATATACGACTTACACTGACTTCACCGACGGCAGATTTCTCAACCTTAAGTTTTAATCTGAAAAAATAACAAAATGCAAAATGAACTGTCAGATACAAATGCCAGTTCTAAAATTCAAACATGAAAAATATCAATATATAGTTTAATAGGAAAATAACATTGATTCCTCTCGGCCAGATAGGCTGTGGTCTACACTTTATCCTGGGAAAACGAAAAAAAAAAATAAATAATGAATAATAAACAAATTGCCCCCTCCCTCCCCGAAGATACCACAAAATGTAAACAAAATTATGTCTATTTCAACAATCACCTAAACACTGACACCAAAAGGCAGCTTGACGATTCACATTAAACTGGTGAGAGGTGGAGAGATCTCCACTGTCCTCTCCCCCTTAAATTTATACTAAGAATAAATAACTTACTCTAGATCTTTGATTTTTGCAAACAGCAGCTCCTTCTGTATATAAACATCAACTGTTGTAGACATTGTCTGTAATATAAAATAATACAGCCTTGCACAAAAATTACATTCAGGAAAAAGAAGTAAAAGGTTTATAAACAAGTACGTTCAATTGCGAGCCCCAGACAAAACTTTCTTATCCCCAGTACCACATTATCTTTTTCCGATCTGAATATATTTGTTGTTTTCTAGCCTAAAGTTTAGTACCGTCCAGTGACCCTTGTCTACGGTCACGCTTATACATGAACCAAGTGTGCTTGAATAACCGTGCTTTATTTGAAATAACGCACTTTTTTTCTAAAGAAGTATGCAATATCTGAGATATTGCACTGTGCGTTATTATTAATAAAGGATATTACTGGCGTATAACAACTGAGGAACACCAAAGACAAATCGCCGCGCCATGCAATAACAACAGCTTATTGCAATGACAGCCTCAGCCTTATTGAATTTCTCGCCCTTAGGTGTCAAGTTTAAAATGCGTCTTTGCAGATTTTAATGCATGAAAAATGATGCACTATATTGGTAAGATTTATCGTGGCTTTGAAGTCATGTAAGCAATAAAAATGTCAAATATAACTGCAACAATTTATATTTCATCTTTATTGGCCAGCTTTAAATATTTTATAACTATTAATTAATATGATTTATTATTGACTCTTTTGTGTATACTAAATAAATAAAAAATAAGAAATAACAAGAGGACCATGATGGCCCAAGAGGGCCATGATGGCCCTGAGTCGCTCACCAGAAACAACTGCTTTTCAGTGTTTGAAATTATCCATTGTCAATATTTGTCTGATATTAAATTTGAGCCAATCAAATTAATATGAGCAAACTTGATAAAAGACTACCTAATAATGCTACCAAGTTTGGTGATTATCTATCAATTATTTCAGTAGGAAATGATGTTCAAAGGTTTTTCTATTTTTTGCTTTAGCGGCCCCTCAAAGGGGCCAGTCAAATTAATATGAGCAAATTTGATATAAGCGTACCTAAGTATGCTACAAAGTTTGGTGATCATCCATCAATTAGTTCTGTAGAAATAGATATTTAACGGTATTTCTATTTTAGCTTGAGCGGCCCCTAAAAGGGGCCAATCAAATTAATATGAGCAAACTTGATAACTTGCACTTTCCAGTACCGTCCATGAACAGGCTCAATCAAACCGAGCCTGCAACATTTTCAATTTTGCCGTGTTGGGCTTTCTTTAGGGATTCTGTATTTATCTATTTGATAAAAGACTACCTAAGAATGCTACAGACAAAATTTGGTGATCATTCATCAATAAGTTCTATAGAAGAAGACGTTTTAAGGTTTTTCTATTTTTAGCTCTAGAGACCCCTAAAAGGGGCCAATCAAATTAATATGAGCAAACTTGATAAAAGACTACCCAAGAATGATACAGACAAAGTTTGGTGATCATCCATCAATTAGTTCTGTAGAAAAAGAAGTTAAAAGGGTTTGCTATTTTTAGCCCTAGAGACCCCTAAAAGGGGCCAATCAAATTAATATGAGCAATTTTAATACAAGACTACCCAAGAATGCTATAGACAAAGTTTGGTGATCATTCATCCATTAGTTATCTAGATATAGATGTTTAATGGTATTTATATTTTAAGCTTTAGCGGCCCCTAAAAGGGGCCAATCAAATTAATATGAGCAAACTTGATAAAAGACTACCTAAGAATGCTACAGACAAAGTTTGGTGATCATCCATCAATTAGTTATGTAGTAGAAGATGTCTTAAGGTTTTTCTATTTTTAGCTCTGTTGACCCCTAAAAGGGGCCAATTGAAATGACATGAGCAAATTCAAGTGTGACTGTCACAATGATGCTACAGACCAAATTTGAAGTAAGTAAATCTGCCCAGTAGTTTCAGAGGAGAAGACGATTGTTGACGCATGACGACGGACGACGGATGCCGGAGTATCCCCCTTTGATACTAATAGCTCACCCTGAGCCTTCGGTTCTGGTGAGCTAAAAACAAAACCTCATTAAATTCTAAGAAAAATGAAACAATACAAAATGTGTATCAATAATTGACAAAAGCTGGCTGCATACAGCATGTAGTGTCAGTAGAAATGGTGCAGCTGTAGATCCAGGCTTTGTTGCATACATATCTATCTTTCCTGCAAAACTAAGAGTAACACCACCACTGGCAACTTCCATTTTAGGTGCCCGTGTGCTGTTCATATGTAGTTCAACATTCATGTTTGGGAAGTGCTTCCCTATCTGTAAAATCATAAAAGACATATTTCCTACAGTCATATAATGTATGATGTATTATGTCATATCATTAATTTATTGTAAACATCTTACCTAAGTCTTTACCTAATCCTGGAATAGTTCAAATAATTATGACAGTAAAACAGAAAACAAAAACAGAATTCACAAAGAACGCCCCAAAACAGCAATATTGAAAATGTTGCAGGCTCGGTTTTATTTAGCCTATTCATGGATGGTAATGCTATTTGCTAGGTACCGTCCATGCCCCCTAGAACCGTCTTTAGCAAAACTGAACAATTAACCACTTAAAAGCATTCGCCGATGTATTCATACGGCGGTTATCATGGAACCTTTAATGTGACACGATAGTGCCATTCTGTGAAACACGTCTTATGGTTCCTCTTAAAAGGGAGCGGGTGCATTTTACGAGAAAACTGATTTTGGAAATCGCTGATTATACAAAGAAACATATTGGCAAATTCATTTTTATTTCAATTGTATTTTAAGGAGGTAAAGGTCATTATCTCATTTTATTACACGTTCCCAAACACTTGAGAAATTAAGACCTTCCACATTAATTACATGTCCATACATACCTGAGGAATTAGGACCTTATACAGTATTACATGTTCATACATACCTGAGGAATCAGGACCTTATCCATTAACTACATGTCCATACAAACCTGATGAATTAGGACCTTATAATTAATTACATGTTCATACATACCTGAGAAATTAGGACCTTATACATTAATTACATGTCCATACATACCCGAGGAATAAGGAACTTATACATTAATTACATGTCCATACATACCCGAGGAATTAGGACCTAATACATTAATTTCATGTCCATACATACCCGAGGAATTAGGAACTTATACATTAATTACATATCCATACATACCCGAGGAATTAGGAACTTATACATTAATTACATGTCCATACATACCCGAGGAATTAAAGCCTTATACATTAATTACATGTCCATACATACCCGAGGAATCAGGACCTTATACATTCATTACATATCCATACATACCCGAGGAATCAGGACCTTATACATTAATTACATGTCCATACATACCCGAGGAATTAGGATCTTATACATTCATTACATGTCCATACATACCCGAGGAATAAGGACCTTATACATTCATTACATGTCCATACATACCCGAGGAATTAGGAACTTATACATTAATTACATATCCATACATACCCGAGGAATAAGGAACTTATACATTAATTACATGTCCATACATACCGGAGGAATTAGGACCTTATATATTAATTACATGTCCATACATACCCGAGGAATTAGGAACTTATACATTAACTACATGTCCATACATACCGGAGGAATAAGGAACTTATACATTAATTACATGTCCATACATACCGGAGGAATTAGGACCTTATATATTAATTACATGTCCATACATACCCGAGGAATTAGGAACTTATACATTGACTACATGTCCATACATACCGGAGGAATTAGGACCTTATACATTAATTACATGTCCATACATACCCGAGGAATTATGACCTTATACAATTATTACATGTCCATACATACCGGAGGAATTAGGACCGTATACATTAATTACATGTCCATACATACCCGAAGAATCAGGACCTTATACATTAATTACATGTTCATAGATACGTGAGGAATTATGACATCAATACATCGATCAGATTAAATGTATATCTCAGGAATCAGGATGCAAATATACTATTGACAATCACGTTAATACATACCTGAGAAATTAGGATTAAATGTATACACACCTGAGGAATTAGGACGCCAATACACTGAATACCACTACAGGTTGTATTGAGAGCACCCTTATTGCCAGGTGGTAGCTGAAATAAAATCATTGATATATTAAATCAATTGTTGGAAGTTATAATTTCTTTGTTAAAAACATCATACACAGCACATAATGTTAAAGTGATATCAAGAAAAAATTCGTAACATTTCTAACAAGCACATAATGTTAAAGTGTTATCAAGAAAAAATACGTAACATTTCTAACAAAAAACAGTATGCCTATGTCATACATGGTTTTGTGCTATAGTTTAACATGAATGGTTTAACGTAATATTCAACAAAGAAGTTGTTTACTAAAGATAAAAACGACAGTATACATACATCTTTCTGTGTAAGGTTATATACCAGGAAGCCATGTTTCTGTGCAGTATAGCCTATTGTATCAAACATATAATCTGACATCCACAAATATAACATACTACTTGTATCTGTGTCATTAGGCATAGGGGGCGGGTTCATGGGGCTTTCTGTACCAGGATCAGTCAACCAGAACAGTTCTCCCTGAAACAATCACTTTATTCATAAAATTGTTTTACATTTAACATTGTCAAACTCTAAGTGGCTTACCATGTACTTTTAACATTCTTTTCTTATCAACAATTTATAACAGTGATTTGAAAACATTTAGCAAAGACAAATTTTTTTATTTTTGTTTTTCAATTGACCTCTTTTTGTTTACAAAGACACATAAGGAAGAATATCTTACATTTAATTATTTAAAATATATTTTTTATGGAACGACTCTTACCTTTAAAAAATTGTAATTATCGAGAAGTAAAACTGTGTTCGTTATAAACAAGAATTCGGTTTAACAGTGTTCGAATTAACAAACTTTGATACAGACAATAGAATCTATAAATAGATTCACTGCATAATTACGACAGACGAGTATGATTTCTACTGTGGTACCTTATGAAATGTATCCATATACTGAGGCTGAAATTCCGGTTTCTTTATAAGCCGGTAGTCTAGAAGAAATTTCTTTCCAAGACGTGTTGTTACTAAAATTAGAAATAAACAAAGTAATTACTAAAACGAAAAGCTTTGCAGACATTTTGTTGTCTTATTGTGTACAATACAATTATAGTGAACATTAAACATTAGAATAAATAGTTTCAAATAATGATATACGAAATTAATTCATCGAAATGAAAATGTAAGAAAATTATTATATTTGTACTTTCAACACAACTGAATAAGAAAGGTAATTAGATAAAATATTATTAACATTACATTATTATTGCGATTTGTTTTAATGGCATATTTCTCAATTCAAATGTCAAAGCTGCTCAATCAAAAGTAATTCATGTATAAAGTCATCATTCAGTTGTAACTTTAAACGATTGCTTTAAAGTAATGATATTTGAATTAAAAAATATGCCGCAAAGACCAAAATTTAGTAATAGATATAAGGCACGCGCGTAGTTTACCCTCTATGATCTGATAAACATACTTCTACGGCATACATTCATATATAACATGTATATAGTTTTATAGATACCTTTCAACTGAGCAAGTTTATTTTTTGCATCCTCGTTGATTTCTTTGTTAATCAATGTACACATCTGTAAATATACACAAAACATAAGTCTACAATGTAGAGTAATAAATATTTTATTAACAACCTTAAAAGAGCCAACTTATTTGATACAAATTTCTTTAAAATAAAGTTGAATAAACTTGAGAATATATTTTGCTGTGAATCTTAAAAATCATAAACGTCTGTGAAAATCTAAGAAAAAAAATCACCTCTACCTTAAACAAAAACATTGAAAACACAATTTTGTCGTTACTGATGATCATCAACAAACAAATTTAAAATTCCCCTAACCTGTTTATTGAGGGTGTCTTTAATGAGTCTTCCAACTTTGCCTCTAAAAAGATTGTATAACCAGGCCATGCCTCCTTTAAAGTGGAAGTTAACATGATCTATGTTGCTGGAACAACCAGTTGATGAAATAGTCGGTCTTCCATTTGTGTCTTCACCTATGTTATATGAATTTATATGAAAGGTTGAAAGGTAAGGTTTTCTGCAAGCATAACGGTAAAGGTAACAGAGGTACAATAGGTAAATATATATAACAATGGAATCGACAAATATATTGCTGGAACATGGTGTATGTCTACTAATGAAATACTGAACGATATAATGAAAAATTAGCAAAAAACATTAAAGGAACTCCACTAAGGTCCAATAGCCTAAAATAATAAATTTTGAAATTCTTTCTGAAATCAACTGGTACATTTGAATTTGAAAGCAAGCAATAGATGGTATATAAATATACACGGTATTATATTGATAAATCGATTTTATGCGATTTTTGGCCGATTTGAGTGAAAAGCGTTTGAACAGTTTTCATTTATGGGGCCAATTTTCACAATTAAAATGATTATTTCTGGGAAACGGAGTGAGCGAATGACTTGAAATTGTGTACATGAGTTATTGGTCTAGACATACATCTTGTTAAACATAACTTTTGAAAAAAGCTTTTCGGTCCCTTCACGTTAAAAAACCTCAGTTGAGTCCCTTTAACGGTGACATTATGTTAACGTAAACATATGTGACGTTATCACCCACTTTCATTTAAGGCTACTTCAACCGGCAACTAATTCTCCATAGCAATCATGATCTGAGTTGTTCGCTATTCACTAAGTACATATTTCCAACATATTTCCTATAAATGATGAATGCTTTGTCTAGATTGAAAACGTGGCAAGTCCATTTAATATGTTAGCGTGAAGAGGATTAATTATTGAAACTTGCTGCTCGGTACAATGTCTTTGTGACAAGTCAAAGAATATTTTTGAAAGGGCGTAAATGTTGACAACAACAATAAAGAGCATAAATTGATAACATTTACCAATGTTCAGTCCTAGACTGAATGATAGTCCCGATACATCAGCATCAAAACTGCCACCAGCTTTAATAAACCTGTCAATAGTAAATGCTTACTGAAAAATACTACACCACTTTTCATATATATGATACTGTAAAAAATATATATTGCTGCAAATGTCGATATTATATTAGATCATTGAAAGTAATTCTGAGCAAATCAAAATACAGGCATTTTGTTAACATCATTTTTGCATTTTAATTAAAATATTAATATGTTTGAATGATATTTAGATAATTTGAGACATTGTATAATATTTCAATTATTTAATATACACATATATAACACACGATAATTCATACAAAAAAGATTACCATCATTTTATGTATCACATAAGATACATTCATACATACAAAAACAACTACCACTATTTAAAATACAAGAGGGCCATGATGGCCCTAGATCGCTCACCTGACCCATCAAACTCATCCAAACAATTACCTAGACAAGCATTCTGACCAAGTCTCATGACAGGTGAGTCAAAAATGAGACCACTACAGTGTTAACAAGGATTATCCATATTTGAGCAGTGTGACCTAGTTTTTTACCCAGGTGACCCATATTTAAACTTGACCTAGAAATCATCAAAACAAACTTTCAGACCAATTTCCAGGATACTTGGATCAACACAGTAGCAACTAGTGTTAACAAGATTTTTCTATTTTTAGCTCCGGTGACCTAGTTTCACATGCGATTTCGAACTCATCTGAGCAATTACCTAGACAAACATCCTGGCCAAGTTTGATGATAATTGAGTCGAAAATGTGACCACTAGAAGGTTTTTTAATATTTGGGCGGTGTGACCTAGTTTTTCATCCAAGATGACCCATGTTGGAACTTGACTTAGAAATCATCAAAACAAACTTTCAGACCAATTTACAGGATATTTGGATCAAAACAGTAGCCACTAGAGTGTTAACAAGATTTTTCTATTTTTAGCTCCTGTGACCTAGTTTTTCATCCGAGATGACCAATGTTCGAACTCATCCAAGCTATCAACTAGACAAGCATCCTGACCAAGTTTGATGATGATTGAGGCAAAATTGTGACCGCTAGCGTGTTAACAAGGTTTTTCTATTTTTAGCTCTTGTGACCTAGTTTTTCATCCGAGATGACAAATGTTCGAACTCGTCCGAGCTATCAAATAGATAAGCATCCTGACCAAGTTTGATGATGATTGAGGCAAAAATGTGACCGCTGGAGTGTTAACAAGGTTTTTCTATTTTTAGCTCCGGTGACCTAGTTTTTCATCTGAGATGACCCATGTTCGAACTCATGCAAGCTTTCACCTAGACAAGCATCCTGACCAAGTTTGATGATGATTGAGGCAAAAATGTGACCGCTAGTGTGTTAACAAAGTTTTCTTTTTTTAGCTCCGGTGACCTACTTTTTCATGCGAGATGACCCATGTTCGAACTCATCCAAGCTATCACCTAGACAAGCATCCTGACCAAGTTTGATGATGATTGAGGCAAAAAATGTGACCGCTAGTGTGTTAACAAAGTTTTTCTATTTTTAGCTCCAGTGACCTACTTTTTCATCAGAGATGACCTATGTTCGAACTCATCCGAGCATCACCTAGACAAGCTTCCTGACAAAGTTTGATGATGATTGATGCCAAAATGTGACCGCTAGAGTGTTAACAAGGTTTTTCTATTTTTAGCTCCGGTGACCTACTTGTTCATCCGAGATGACCCATGTTCGAACTCATCCAAGCTATCACCTAGACAAACATCCTGACCAAGTTTGATGATGATTGAGGTAAAAATGTGACCTCTAGAGTGTTAACAAGGTTTTTCTATTTTTAGCTCTTGTGACCTATTTTTCATCCGAGATGACCCATGTTCGAACTCATCCGAGCTATCAACTAGATAAGCATCCTGACTAAGTTTGATGATGATTGAGAGCGACCGCTAGAGTGTTAACAACAAAATGTGAACGGACGGACGACGGACGGACGGACGACGGACAATCATCGATCCTAAAAGCTCACCATGAGCATGCTCAGGTGAGCTCATAACAGACGATAGTTATACATACAAAATAAACAATAACCATTATTTTATGTATAATATAATGGAACATTTATACAAACAAAGTAAACATTACCATTTCTTATAATGAAAGTCTCCATGAACTTTTATTCCTGCACCCGATGCTCTCCAGGACAGACCAACACCTGGGATAGTATTCAATGTACTGGCTGGGGCTGTAAACTGTACTACATTAATACTGAAACGTGAAATAATGCAACATCAATGATTTAAATTATGAAAAAAACTTATCATCTCTTATTCCTCATTGAAAACATTAATCAAGTTCACGAAAGTATTTTTTAAAAATGCCCAATCTCGCACTTGTTACTGTAATTACCAACTCATAAAGTATTTTGCACTATCAAAATAATACCTCACCGTTAGAAAAAAGTATAATGAAAAGTCAATCAAGGTTATGCTTAAAATTCTTCGAATTTTTTTACCATTTGAAAGTTTTACACATTCATGTATGTGTTTGTTTTTCACGGTAAATATGCAAGACTTACTTGTAAATGGAGTAATGGAAGCCAGATGCTTTGCCTGATTGGTCGGGTATTTTAAGTTTCTGTACATTTTCTTTCAGGGCTTCAATGGCAGAATTGATAGCTATGTTTTTTTAAAAATAAAGAAATTGAATTTATATGCACATATGAAAAATATTAACAAGAACAATGAGAGAGACTGGAAGGCCTGTTTACAGTTAAATTTGATGAATCACTTGCGCCTTATATTCCTCAAAGGACATAATAATCATTCTTGCTAGGCAGCCTTCAAGCATTCAGAAGGTTGATGGTACTATTCTGTTGCCATGAAAAAATAAAGTTGTAAAGTAAATCAGAAAAATTAAAATTTAAGGGGAGATTATTTTGGAAATATGGACGCTAGATTTACAACCCTTGTCATATCATTATGATGTGGGAGTTTGAAGAAAATCCTTAAAGAAATGAAGAAGTTTGAGGTAATAATAAATTTTAGAAAAAAATCTAAATTAATTCTGGAAATGTGAAGTTGATAACTTAAGAAAGAAAGAAGTTATAAAAACAAACAAAATTTCTTTATGAAAGTTCTAAGTTCAAGGATGACAATTTTGTCAATTTAGGTGTTAGAACTATGAACCTTGCCACTAATGATTTGGATGATGATGAAAAAACAAATATATGAAGTTTGAGGGAATAAAGAATTTTTTTTAAAAATATATGAAAATTCTAAGTTCAATGAGGTTTTCTGACAGTTTTGATTAAATAGTTATGAACCTTGTCATATATGATGTGGTTGATAATCAAAAACATTTAATTCAAGTTCAGCTTAAGATATAAAGAAGTTTTAGTGAAAAAAAATACAATATAAAAACTAACGCGGTCGCGGACACTGGGTGAGTAGAATAGCTCTCAGTATATTCTTTAAAGTCGTGGATAAAATGTTGTGCATACCCTTCATACTGCCATCAATCTATATTTCAAGTTTCATAAAATATTTTAAGTGCTTTTTAAGTTATCACAAACATTGTTATATTTGCCATATTTAAGTCTATTTGTGGCCATAGCAACCAAATTTCTCAGTATAAGACTAAGAAAGAAATAAAATGATGTGCAAAATATCGAGCACACAAGTCTTCTCGCAAGGTAAACAGGAGCAAAAAGCACACAAATAGACACTGGGGCGGCATGGCTGTCATCAAATTGAAGTTATAATAATATTTACTTAAATGAATACTTAAAATTGTCCAAAAAGGTACAAAGACTTGTTATTAAGATGTTTTATCGAGTAAATCATTGCTTGGTGATAATGAATGCATACAATTGTCACAAAAAGGCAAAAATCCTTCAGTAGCTACGGAGATACCAGCTTACATGCAAAAACTTAACCACGAATTTTTAGGTCGAAAAAGGGGCATAAATATGCAATAAAAAACAAATCTGAGTTATGCGACTTAGGCCAATCATGTTAAATAATCTCAGAGAACTAGTGTGTGAAGTTTCAATGCATTCCCTTTACATATTAATTATTATAAGTTTGGAGACCCAAGCTTACACGTAAAAACTTAATTCAAAAAAAGGGGCATAAATATGCAAAAATATTAAATCAAAGTTCTGGTACTTGTGCCTGTCATGTTAGATAATCACAGTGAACAAATGTGTGAAGATGCATTTTATTCCCTTCAGTAGTTATGGAGATACCAGCTTACACGCAAAAACTTAATCAAGAATTTCTTAGTTGAAAAGGGGCATAAATATGCAAAAAGCAAATCAGAGTTATGGGGCTTGTGTCAATCAGGTAAAATAATTACTTAAGTTTCAATCCATTCGCTTCAGTAGCTATGGAGATACCAGCTTACCCGTTAAAAACTTAACCACAGGGACACGACACCGACAAACGGGTGACTGAATTAGCTCGAGTTTTCTGCGAATTGTCGAGCTAAAAACCCGATAAAGACAAAATTTTAATGATTATGAATATTACCGTCGAGGTGTTCAGATTGCTTTAATCGATATTTTTGTGCCCCCTTATCACCGGTTTTTTTTGACTTAAACAAAAAACATTTATTACAACGGAAGATATTAGACATTTTAATTTTATCTAATGATAAAATAAATAAAAGGGAAAGTGGGAGGATATTCCCAACAAATTTTACCCCTTTTTAGGGACGTAAAAATAGATATTTGGAAAATTTTACACCGTAATTTAAAATTTTTTTTAACGTAAACAAAAATTGTTGGATATTAATAAATCAAAAAATAAAAATAAAAAAAAGATTTACAACTTTGGGGAGATATCAAATAACATCCCCAAATAGCTTTTCATAACTTTTAGATAATACCGGGTCTTATCAATACCCTCCAAAACTGAAAATAAAGATGTCCCTACCATGAAGGGACTTTAAAGTATTACATATATTTGAAAAAAATAATAAAGTATTATTAATTACATATCTATAAAGTGTCTTAGACAGTAATGTGTGACTGTAATGTATTATAATTATATAACATTAACATAAATATGGGTACTAATTACATATGTACTTTATAATGAAAATCCACATCTGTAAACAAAATTCTTTTATATCGAATTAATCTACATGTACATGTATTTCTATTTTAATAGCATTTATGTATTTGTTCTTCATGGTTACACAACCGGAACATTTATTGGAGAAATTACATAAAGCATTCCCGTTTTTAAGATATTTGAATTAAAAAATAGATAAATACAGAATCCCTAAAGAAAGCCCAACACGGCAAAATTGAAAATGTTGCAGGCTCGGTTTGATTGAGCCTGTTCATGGACGGTAATGGAAAGTGCAAGTTACCGTCCACGCCCCCTAGCACCGGCTTCAAAGTCAGAATTCAACATTTTAACATAAAAATAGTAAAATTTAAAACCTAACTTTGTCAATTCTTCAGTTAAATAAACCAAATTTGTTAGTAATAAACTTACCGTATGTTAAATCCTTTCTGTGTTATCCTTGCCTTAAAGCCCGGGTTTCGAGCACACAAACCTTCTCGCAAGATAAACAGGAGCAAAAAGCACACAAATAGACACTTGGGGCGACATGGCTGTCATCAAATTGAAGCTACAGTTTAAAATGAAATAAGATCAAATCAATTTTTAACTTCCCCGTTTCTCCTAATCCTGTATTAGTTTATGATGTTTAATGTAGTGAGTCGAGATAAACAAATGTATGTAAGTGGAAACGGATAGAACATTTATTTACCTTTAACTTTATTTCCGTTAAACTTACATATAGATTTGTGTCGCTTTGTGTTTTATATTGACCATCCTTTGTTTATGTTTGCCTGGTTATATACACGTACAAGCTAGTATCACTCGTCGGAGGTGAAATCTCTGTCTCTCCCCTTAATCCCCCCCCCTCCACTTTCGCTCTCTCTGCAACCCCCCCCCACCCCTCCTTACTGTGTTATCTATGCTGACAAAGATATGCACTATAACACCATGTGAAAGAGAAAGGGTAATTTTTCAAGCTTATTGAATAGTTTTCTATATTAACTATGGATCTTTCCAGCACATATAGGAGCTCGACTTGCAGCCCTAATCTCAATAAATGTACAGTAAGGGTATGTTTGTATGTTAAGCATCGTTCGATGGTAGATCTACGATTTCGAGTGATATTTTCATCATATGCATTGCATGTTTTGGACACACCAGAACCCACGACGGAAAGAATATTCCGACGAAGACCGATTTTCTCTTTCACACATGGTGTTATAATGCACATCTGGATCAACGGAGATTCACATATTATATATTTTTCGCCCTCGTGCTACCAATTACTGTAATTTTCAGTGCACAACTTACCATCTCTCTTTTTAATTTAGCTACAACATACCAATCAATATATCACTGTATAAGTTTTCTCTCTATGGATAAATATAAACACTAATAAAGAGAGAGGGTACATCATATGACAGCTATACATAAATAATACTTGAATGCAGCATTATGAGTTCGAGATCTACAGAACATTTACATGTTGTTATATGAATTTTGGCCTACTTTCACTTTGGACAGACTTGGTGAAACAAACATAACTGACAAAGCGGAATCACCTTAATAGTGCAAATAAAACAAATTTCAAACATCGAAGAATATGTAAAATGTGTACTGCAAATATTTGTGCACATTATATTTATTCAATTTATATACATTCATTTCTTATTGGAAAATTTGACTTAGAATTTATAGAAAATAAATTTCTTATTACCTCCCTTTATTTTCATGAAATGTTAAATTCGGTAATATCTCTATAGATAATGCTTATTGGAACATACAATATTGACAAATTTTAATTTGAGCATCATATTTATGAAATAAAACCATGACAAAATTGTGTTACAGGATCTTTAACTGGTTTGCAACATTGAAATAGCGTTCTTGTTTTGACTGAACATTGTTGCACGCGCTGTTTTGCGCTACAATGTGACGTCACGTAAACAACACTTTAAATGCCTACAGGTACAACGTAAATGAATGAATAAAAGATATTGGTGTTCAGATTTTTTTTTCTAGTTTGAAACAATTTTTATCATTCTAAATAGTTTTCATAACAAAATTCAACAAAAAATTTGTTCATTATTTATTTAGGATGACGTCATTACGCTGCTTACGGATTGGCGCCGTTTTGTCAAAATATTTATTAACTGATATGGATCTAATATGTGAGATATTATTTCGGTATTGTATGAAAAGAAAACATTATACGAACTGAAAATATAAATAAAAATGCTTTTTATTGTTGCTTTAAAATGCTTTGTAAACTATACAATCGAGGGTGAAAATATAACAGCGGATATACAAGTAGTCCCTAACCGGTGTTTATTGGCAGTTTAACACCAGTTTTTTTCCTTCTTTGTCTATAGTGACAAAATCACGTGAGTGTTAGAATGTAGAATAACGCACGCTTCTGGCCTTCTTTGTTTATATAGAAAGATTTCCGATAGTGTAAGAATTAGTAATATAGTAGAACGGTATTTTCATTTTTCATTACGTTCTGTACGTGCGAGCTTAACACAGAATGATATGGTTTACCTTTATTAAAATCACTAACACTTCTAATTTAATATATCCGTTATGTTTTCTATTGGCAAATGAAAACGACATATCCGATGCTAAATTTTCAATTCATCGTTAACATGTTTGAAGTGGCAGACGACATACAAAAAAGTCAAAATTTAAAGATGTCCAACATTCTTCTGACAACAAAGAGTAAACTGTAGAGTCATTTGTAGAAGGTTAAACATAATACATGTACATGTACTCGTATACGATTTCAGTTGTCAGTTTAGTTAGTTTAAACAATACGTCAATTCACTTAAGATAAGCTTTGTCATTTCTTCATTCAGGTTAATTTACCTATTCAAAACATGAAGAATTTATGATTTAGTTTTATAGAACGACGACAAAGCATCCCTTCGATCAGTGACTATATATTGAATACACAGTGTAGTTTAGAGCAAGTTTAGTTTTGCATGCGAGTATATGTCAAAATAATTTATAACTCTTTCTCCATTTTACATAAACATACATACTAGAAAAGGGTTACAATAAAGACAACATAAAGTACATAAAATTCTTGATTAACAATTACATATAACGAAGTATCTAACCCAAAGACTTGCAAACTATCAAAAGCAAAAGTGTTTGACTATACGTGAAGAATTATAGATATTTTATTTCAAAGTAATCTATACTAGTATATATACATAATAAGTTATGAATGTTTGTCGTCGGCGGCACATCCTTATGGAACCTTCTTTTTACAAGCTTTTAGTATCCAAAAGTCATTTCAAGCCGACGGCAAACAGACTTACAAATGAAGGATGTGTTAATAAAGTATGCCATAAATATTACCTTAATCCAAATTATCTAGAGATCTATAGAGGCACATCTGTCACAAAATTCAATATTAGTATGCTAAACTAAAACAAGATAAAACTGCCTGTTACGCGACTGCATCAGGAGAGAAAATCGCTATGCATTTACATTGGAAATGAAAGGCGAGATAGTGTCCAAAGCAAGTTAAATAAATCTTAATACAATATTCCAAAAATTAAGTTTAAAAATTAATTTAAAATGAACTCATGCACTGATGTTTAATTTCCTACTAATGCAATGAAGTATAGCATGTTATTTGTTCTTTTTAAGTATAATCTCGTTCAAGTAACACATTTCTTTTGAAGGAATAGTTTGTCGAAGTACCATTGCTAAACAAGAATACAAAATCATGTAGAACTGTCTTTTGTCTTCTTGGAGTCGGGGTTGTGAGTCGTATTGTGTATTGAAGTAAATATCTGAAATAAAAAGGAAAAATATTGAATAGAATATATGCGTTGATTTATCAGTTAATAAGACTAATGTTACAGTTTTAATAACATTTATAATTATTCTAAAAGGATAATCACGGGGGTGGAACCCCATATGTATCTCATAAATTAGCATCGGTAAAAAATATATGTGAATTTCGCTGCACCAGATGTGAAGCATAACACCAGATGTGACTGTAAAAAAAAGTCAATCGCAGGGTAAGTTTTCAACTTTTTAAACATTTATATAAAATTCAATCTTTTTTGTAAGAAAATCGAAATGTGATTCTACCCTCCTGACTCTCCTCTTTATTACACATTTTTGTTTTGGATTTCTATGCAGTCTTAATCGAGATATTCTTTCCGTCATGGGTTCTGGTGTGTCCAAAACATGCAATGTAAATGAAGAAAATGTCACTAAACGGACTAAAAAAACAGATTTTACGAAATCCCACCACAGACCGATGCTTAACATTCAGACAAATCCTGATTTAAACATTTATTGAGATTTGGCTACAAACGAAAAACCGCTGCTCAAAATTGCATTTGAGCTCCATATGTGCTGAAGAGATCCATATGTGCATAATATAAAAAATTAGCAACATAAATACGCATCACTTTCATAAAGCAATCTATAATTTTTTACATTGTATATCATTCTGTAATTAAAACATCATTATCCTAAACAGACACATTTTCACGAGACGAGCTTGAATAACATAGTATCTATATAGAAAGAGATAAATGACATTCTGCATACGAAAGGTTTTGAAAATACGTAGATATGGTGGGAAGGCATTGCTTATTTTGATTAATTGACGTCATGTGTACTGCAATCATTCCCTTTTTATGCCGTCATGCATTAACTAATTAACTTATTATTCACTCGACTGCACTGTCTGCTTAATAGGGGAGTAATGTGAAGCGTGTTTGAATTTGTTATACGCTGTTAGAAAGTTAGTGATAAACTTTTGGAAAAAGATCAAAGAAACTTTGCATATTTATTTTGCACATCATGGAACGTTCTTGCATATTATTTACATGGTTCACTTCATGGCCATAATCACAATAATGGGTCAATGTCTATTTGACTTATTTTATGCCTGCTCTTTAACCGATATAAATTTAAAAATCCGTCTTTTGGCATGCCATTAAAATGCTGATGAAACGGCGGTTAGCGTAATACTGGCGCGACCCAATTATTTACAGCAATGGTTTTCTTTGTCTTTAGGAACACCTAACATACTTCTAAATTGGCTCATATGATGTGGGGTTTACAATATCGGTCATTGACACGTTACATAAAAAGTAACCGAGGTTCCGAGTGGGGAATTAACTTTCTGAAGAGAAGCCAATAATAATAAATTGAAAATTTATGTTAATTTAAATTCTCATTTCCTTTTATTATACGATAAAACAGTTATAATATATCGAACTCGACTATTATGTAGAAATATCATGACCTGGGAGGCATCTCGGGTTTCCTTACAATGTTCTCGGCCCATATTCTGTAAAGAAAAACATTCGATGTCGCACCAGACCATGATATTTCCTCATAACAGTCTGTCGCTATAATTATAATTTGTGAAATATTAAAGTGATAGATATTTTTATGAATGTAAACATTATTATAGAAACCACGGATTTATAAATCCGTGTAGAAACATATTATATGACACGATATCTTTAGAAAGTTCCATACTTTCAGTTTGGTTTGTCCAAGTTACATATCCATTATTAGTGAATTATTTATCATACGAGTACTATCCGTTATATAAATGTTTAAAAAATTGAAAAATTACCCTGCGAATGACCTATTTTTACAGTCACATCTGGTGTTATGCTTTACATCTGGTGCAGCGGAAATTCACATATAATTTTTACCGATATGCTCATTTTTTGAGATACATATGGGGTTCCACCCCCTGTAAGCGTTGAAATTTGTCAGCTAATAAGGCTATTCGTTTAAATAGCTTTTATGATTATTCTAAATTCGAAAATGAAACATTAAGGTATGTTTAGGAAATTTGTTTCATATCTACAATGTTTTCGTTATATGTATATTACACCGTAGTGTTTTTTTTAAATGATATATTTACCTCTCAATCGGGTGGAAACGATTTCTTTTTTAACTTGGAATATAACAGTTTACCATTGACATATATTTCAAATGAAGTCTGAAATAAAATAGCATTAAATAAATGTTAACAGCTTATTTAATTGAACTTTTAACAATCAATCATGATATTTGTTTGCAAGTATATAAGTTAAAAGTACATTGAGCATAAACAGGTGTAAACTATTTTGTTGATAAAACTATCATAATATTCAAAGATATGACAGTAATCAAATTAGTTTATGAATGAAATTTTCCACTGTATCTTTTTGAATGTGAGTATCACTTATTGTCGATAATAGCATGTCACAAAGTTAAACAAATACTTCATGCACTTTGTAACAATGATAAGTGGTTTTGCAAGTATCATCGAAATATTTTAATTACCATGATATCTATTGTAATAATACACTGTTATATCAATTCTTAATACTGTCATCATTTTTCTAGCATTATTTCGACTATCCCTTTTCCTCTTGCCATCGTATTGCGTAATCACTATTTCTCTAATAATCATCATCACCATCATCATCCGTGTCAATATCTCTATTTCTAATAACACCTGATCTCAACTATCCCTTTTGTCCGATACCATCATTTTGCCTAATCATCAACATAATAATCACCAATGTCATCACATGATAATAATAATGATGATGACGATGATGATAATAATCATCATCACCATCATCATCCGTGTCAATATCTCTATTTCTAATAACACCTGATCTCAACTATCCCTTTTGTCCGATACAATCATTTTGCCTAATCATCAACATAATAATCACCAATGTCATCACATGATAATAATGATGATGATGATGATGATGATGATAATAATCATCATCATCACGCCATCATCATCCATGTCCTCCAACCACCCCGTTCTCCTCCTCATTATCATCAGTGTAACATTATCTCTATTTATTATAACACAATCTCAACTATCCCTTTTTCTCATACAATCATTTAGCCTTATCATCAACATATCATCATCACCAATATCATCATATGATGATGATGATCCTGATGAAGATGATGACCATCATCATGATCACCATTTATATAGATCACCATTTATATATCACCTTAAATAACACTAGCAGGATTTCTATGTTAGTCGTATTCTTTGTATGTAAGCTATTTGTACTAAGATATGATATACATGTAATAAATGGTAGGTAAACGTGCTTATACTCTGTTTGTTCCATTAGCGTAGACCAAATGCAGGTTTCTCCTCTCAGGCCACTTCCATACTATGATCCACCCAGTTCCCATATCTCTAAACTCAGGAATAACTGCCATGTTCCATTCTGCTGGCCCAGACTGAAGACAATCACTCGCAAACGATGCGCCTCCTTGCGGATATTAAAGTTGCCAGACTCCTCGGAATTCCATCGAAAGTAGCCTCGATCAACAGACCAGGGGATATATCAGGGCATGAAACCGTAAGAAAAACTCCTGCTTGCTGTAAGTTTTGCCTAGCTTACAGCTACTACCAAACACACAAAAGCTTAACAATCTGGAAAAAGCTTTGGGATGGAACACTATACAAGTATATGTAATTTCTAATTGGCGGACAATTTTATATCACCTATCTTGAGTCTCGAACAAGCATCACCTATCGAACCACCGGCACACTGATATCTACTGAAGGCCTTCACGTGATTACCATAATTCTTACGATAATCATTATTTTATTTTAGTAATAGATCTATTACACTTAACACTATTAAATCAATAATTAGCATCATCCTCATTTTTTATACCATCTTTTGAAATACCCATTTACTCTTGCCATCATCATCATCACCGTCATCATCGAAATCGATAACGACAATGACAACAACAATAACAACAACAACAACAACAACACTTTTTTCTGTAATCTTTCCTTCATGATATCTATTAGGAGATACACCTTATCATCAATTCATTTATCGTATTCCTTATACCATCAATCATCTATCTCTAATTTTCTTCTTAACCTCCGCCTGCTCATTATAATCATAATTCATTAAAATCCTCATAAATCATGATATAATATCAAATCAATCAAATTTTCGCCCGTCGTCCTCCCCCCGGCACCCGCCTCCTCTCATTATTTTATTATCTTTCATCAACAACAAAACAAAAATATCTTTTAGCTTCCCCCATGATTCTTTTATAATACATTTGTTAACAATTCTTAATAGTTTTTTTTAGCATTTTTTCGACTACCCCTTTTCCCCTTTTACTTTCGTATTCCCTTTAAATATTTTATTTTCTTAATTTCTTTTAAAACAGTTAAAATATTTTCCTTTTTAAAATTTTTTCTCTTTTCTAATAAAAACCTGATCTAAACTACCCCTTTTTGGGATAAAATCATTTTCCCTTTAATACCCAAAAATAACCCAAATATAAATACATGATAATAATAAATTGTTTGAGATGATAAATAATAATCATCATCCCAAATCATCCGTGTCAATATTTCTATTTCTAAAAACCCCCTTGATTAAAATTTTTTTATAATTTTCCTTTTTTGCCCAAAAGATAAAATATTTTGGGCTCCCCCTTCCCCCTTTTTAAAAAACCTTTTTTAAAAAACCCACCAATTTTTTTATCATTTTTGGGAAATTAAATGAATGACCCGAAATAATAATGATAAAATGAAATAAAATTTCATCATCAAAAACCCCAATTTTCCCTTTTCCCCCAACCACCCCTTTCGCCTCCCATTATCATCAGTGTAACTTTAAATTCTTTTTTTCTAATAACCCCAATCTCAAATTTCCCCCTTTTTTTCTCAAAATCATTTCCCCTTTATAAATCAACACCTTTCACCCACCAATTGGGGCCCTATGATGATGATAAATCCTGATGAAAAATGATGCCCAAAACCCAATCATGATCACCATTTTAAAGTTTTCCCCTTTTAAATTATCACCTTAAATAAAAACCAAGCGGGATTTTTTTTTAAATCGAAATTTTTTTGAAATGTAAGTTTTTGTACTAAAAAAATATAAATATACTTGTAAAAAATTTTGGAGGTAACGGGCTTATACTTTTTTTTGGTTCCTTTTAAGCGCCCCAAAAATGCGGGGTTTTTTTCCTTTTCGGGCCCAATTTTCCATACTATGACCCAACCCATTTCCCATTTTTTTTACTCGGGAAAAAACTCCCCATGTTCCTTCCCCTGCGGCCCAGATTGAAGACAATCACTCGCAAAGATGCGCCTTTGCGGATTTTAAAAGTTGCCAGACCCCCTTCGGAAATTCCATCGAAAGGGTAGCCCCATCAACAGCCCCGGGGATATATCAGGGCATAAAAACCGAAAAAAAACCCCCTGCTTCCTGTAAGTTTTGCCTAGCTTCCCAGCTAACTACCAAACACAAAAAAGTTTAAACTTTTTCGGGAAAAAAGTTTTGGGGGAGGGAAAACACAAAAAAGTATATTAATTTCAAATTTTGGGGGAAAAATTTTAAATACCCTTTTCCTTGGGAGTCTCGAAAAGCACACCCTACCCAACCCCGGCACATTTGATATTACTAAAAGGCCTTAAACATGTTTAAACCAAAATTTCCTTACGAAAAAACATTTTTTTTTTTTAGAAATAAAAATTTTAATTAATTTTAACCCCTTTTTAATCAAAAATTTATCTCCTCTTTTTTTAAAAACCATTTTTTTCAATAAAAAAATTTTCTCTTCCCTCTCTCATAAATCACCACCATCATCTCGACAACGACCCGACAATGACAACAAAATTTAAAAAAACAAAAAAAAACAATTTTTTCTGTAATCTTCCATATCATATATCTATTGGTTTTACACCTTTATATCAAATCAAATATTATTCGCAAAAAAAAATTCCCACCAAATATCAAATTTTTTCTCTAACCATCACGCGGGATATAATCATAAATTCTTTTAAAATCCTCATCAAATCGATATAATAATCATTCTTCCCCCCCCCACCCCCCCATCTTTGTTGGTTTTTCAACCACCAAAAACCTCCTAACCATTAAATTTTAAATCTTTTATAACAACAAACACAATATGATCTTTTATGCTTTAACACATGGTTTTTTAATTTTTAATAACATTTTTAAAAATTTTCTTAATATAAAATTTTCAAAAAATTTAAATTTTTAAAAATTTTATTTAAAACAAATCCCTTTTTCCCTTTTCCCATCTTTTTGCCTTTAAAATCCCCAATTTCCCCTAATTTTGTTTTTAAATTAAATAATCATCCCCCATAATGTTTCTATTCTTTTAATAACACCTGATCAACTATTTTTTTGTCCGATAAAATCTTTTTGGCCTAATAAATCAAAAAAAAATCACCAATTTTTCACATAAATAATAATGATGATGAAATTGATATAAAAATATCATCACCATAAATCATCCGTGTAAAATATCTCTTTTTTCAAAATTAACACCGGGACCCCTTAATTTTCCCTTTTGTCCGAAACAATCATTTCCCTTAATCTAAAACATAATAATCCCCAATTAAAATCACATGATAAAAAATTTGATGATGACGAGGGAATGAGATAATAATAACATCAATCAAAATAAATCATCCTTTTCCCTAAAAACCACCCTTTCGCCCCCCCCAAATTATAAATCAGTGTAACATTATCTTTTTTTTATAACAAAATCTCAACCTTCCTTTTTTCTAAATCAATATTGTTATAAATAACCCCTTTTCATCACCAATACCCCCAAAATGATGAGGGTGATCCTGATGAAAAAATAAAATAAACCACAAAATAAATCCCCAAATTTTAAAGTTTAAACCCATTTATTTAATCCCCTTTTAAAAAACACTAGCGGGATTTTTGTTAGTTTTTCTTTGTAGGGTAAGTTTTTTGTACTAATTTAAGATTTTAAACATGTAAAATTAAAGGGGAAAGGAAAACCGGGTTAAAAATTTTTTTGTTCCATTAGCGCCCCCAAATGCGGGTTTCCCCCCTTTTCAGGCCATTTCCCATACTTGATCCACCCATTTTCCCCATATCTCAAAACTGGGAAAAAACTGCCATTTTCCCATTCGGGCGGCCCCGGGATTGAAAAACAATCACTCGCAAACGATCCCCTCCTTTGGGCGGATATTTAAAATTTGGGCCAAAACTCCTGGGAAATTCCATCGAAAGTACCCCGAAAAAGGGGGATATATAGGGATAAAACCGTAAAAAAAACTCCTGCTTCCCTGTAAGTTTTCCCTAGTTTAAACAGCTAATTTACCAACACACAAAATTTAAAAAAATCGGGGAAAAAGCTTTGGGGATGGAACACTATACAAAGAAATAATGTTTTTTTCTAATTGGCGGAAATTTTATTCACCTTCTTGAGTCTCGAAAAAGGCATCCCCTACCCAACCCCCGGCAAACTGATTCTACTAAAAGGCCCTTTTCACAGGGTTTAAACCAAAATTTAAAAAGAAAAACCCCATTTTTTTTTTTAGAAAATAAAATCTATTAACTTAACACATTAAATCAAAAATTAACATCCCTAAATTTTTTATAAAATTTTTTCAATCCCAAATTTTCTTTTTGGCCCTTATCAACACCCAACTAAATCATCGACGAGGGAATAAGGGACAATGACCAAAAATAACAACAACAAAAAATTTTTTCTGTAATCTTCCATATCTTTAAAATTATTGGGGGATTAAAAAAACCCATTAAAAATTAAATATAAAATTTTTATGTCATTTTCAATAACCTAAAATCACTATTTTTTTTCTCAAACCATCACGCTGCATATAATCATAAATTAAAATTATAATCCCCCTTTTTCAATCATCAATATATCATAAAATTCATCGTCTTGGGCCCCCAAAGGGCCCCCTTCCTACTC